GGGGATGCAGAAGTTAAGGCCAAGTAGGACCTGGTGGATGTACCATTAGAAGGTTTGACCAGCGTTTCATAGGCTAAAAGGCATATAGATGTATTCAAACAAGCTGAACGGAGTTGTTATGGCAGTTTTTGGATTGTCCTCGGGGAAGACTGGTATTTGGTGATAGGCACAGGTTAGATCCAGTGTGGAAAAAATGATTTTGCCTTTGAAGAGTTGAGTGCAGTCCTGTATGTGAGGGACAGGATAGCGATCGGGGACGGTTATAGTGTTGAGACAGTGGTAATCACCGCAAGGTTGCCACTGGCCATTTGCCTTTTTAACCACGTGTAATGGGTTGGCCCAGGGGTTTTTGGATGGCTGAATGATGCATTAAGACATAAAGAATTGATATTCTTCATGGGCTGCTTGGAGCATATCTGGTGGTAATCGTCTGGGTTTCAAGAAGACAGGTGGTCCTTTAATTTTGATGTAATGAAAGGTGGTTGACATTTTTTTGGTTTCAGGAGTTATCGACAGATTTGTAATAGTAGTGAACTCGGCCAAAACGTGATGGTAGGAAGAGTTATTAGTCACTGCAGTGATGTTAGTGAGAGTTGTGGGTCGGTTCTGCCGGCAAGCAGGAGACCCAAGCTGCATTACCCCATCAATTAGTCGATTGTTTTTGACATCCACCAGTAGGTTGAATTTAGTTAAGAAGTTGATTCCTATGATGGGTTGGATCATGTTGGTGATTACAAATGGCCATGAAAAACTCCGCTTTAAGTTAAAATTGTGTATTAATAGCTTTGTTCTGTAGGTTGGAATAGGTGTTCCTTGTGGCAAAGAGGACTAGCTTCTCAGGTTTGCCTAAATATGTGTTGGAACTTTTTGGAATCACTGAGATGTTGGCGCCTGTGTCTATAAGGAATTTATATTTCATAGTAGGGTCGGTCATGGTGATTCGGTCAATGTGGTGGGTGTGACTCCTGGCCGTAAGTGCCCGCCCAGTCAGTTTTCCGCTGGTTGAAAGGAGCAAAGGGCTTTGCACTTTTTTGCCTGCGTCCCAAAGATGGCGTGATAGAAACACATGCCATTGTCAGGGCTGTTGTGCCGTTGATTTCGATGTGATTTGCTGCGGCGCCTCATGTTGTTAAAGGGGTATTCAGAACATCTGAAGGAGCAGTGCGGGTTGTTGATTGACATATTAAGGTTCTTGACCTGCTTGGCTAATTCCGCAACTTGGTTCTCCAGGGTGGAGATGGCGACGGGGTCATGTTCGACTGTTGGATATGTGTGGGGGAGACTAATTCCATTATTTTGTCAGCCATGGAGGCCAGTTGTGAAGCTTTTCATTTGATGCAGCTAAAATGGCCTGTATATTGTGGGGTAATCTTGATAGCCAGAGGGATTTTAAGAGGTCTTTGCTAAAATGGTTACCGGCCAAGTCACGCATCTATGTTAATAGGAAGGATGGATGTTGGTCTCCCAGCTCCAACCCTTGAAGAAGCGTTCTGATTTTGAAGGACTTGCTCTCTGAATAGATGTTGATAAGACAAGCCTTTAGAGTAGCAAATTTATTCTGGTCGGGCGGGTTGAGGATTAGATCATGCACCGAATTTAAAATTTAGGGCTCTACAGCCACAACAACGTGTTTAAATTTTGTGTCGTCGACGATTATGTTGGTAATGGAAAATTACACTTCTAGCTGAGTGAACCATAAGCTAGAAAGGTGGGGGGTCTGATTGTGATGCATGCTATATGACAGTGATTATCATTATTTTCTGCCTCAGCCATGGTTTGGGTGTAATTGTGGCAGTATGAAGGCAGGTATAGGTAATTGACGTGTTGCATGCACAGTTTAGCATGTGGCGAGAGGACAAAGAAGGATGGCACATAGAAGCACATGGCGGGAGAACAAAGAAGAATGGCACATGGCGCAAGAACAAAGAAGGATGGCATGTACTATACCTTTCCATATTTTCAACCATCGATGAAAAATATCCATGGTTACACTTTTTGAAGGTCGAGATGAATGAGTAGACAGTTCCAAAAGAGATGAAAGTCCAACGTTTGTATCCAATGTGAATGGATGAAATTGTGACCTTTCGGGTCGGCACCTCCTTAGTGCCCTGTCAGGATTGACACCACCATGTTTAACAGAACACGGAAGCTGAGATGGCGATTACGTCACACCATCGCGCAAGCGGTCCCGTACATGGACAGACGGATTCTTAATGTTAGATCGAGAGACAGCATGTGGAAGAGACTCGGACAACATTTAACAATTAACAGCAGTTTATTTAACAATAAATTGGATAAAGTATTGTCGCAGAGAGAGAGAGTTCACGTACGGTTCCTGTGGTGATAAATACCTTTGGTAATAGATATCCCGGTCAGGTCGTGTTGATTCAAAGAACAAGGTAATAGTTCTTCTTATGGGCTTTTTCAGGATGTATCCAGGGGTGAAATATTTAGTCAAAATGTCCCTTTTGATTTATCCAGGCTCGATCGTGCACTAACACACACACAAAAAAGGTTATCCTATGGGCGACTATTTCTTGGACGACGATTAAATGGGCAACGACTTCTTTCCTCTCTGAGGATTAAAACGGCGACTAACTCTTTTCGGCCGTCTCTGGTGATATTCATGGACGATTTCGGCCATGCAGAGGTTAATAGTTCACAAGAAAGCATCATGTTGCTTTCGAGAAAATGTAACGAGAGACTTTCTCAGGTAGCTAAGACCAACAATTGTTGCGTAACTCGTGCAATGTTACTATTAAAGACTAGTTCTAATATTAGGAATTTCTGCTATCTCACAGAATTTTCATGTCATACTGTAGAGTACAACATGAAAATTCCATCAGGTAGAGGGCACCATAAGATCACGTTCAGGTCACCAGTTTGTAGCGCAACTTTTGTAATGAATTATCTTATGATACAAAACCAGGCTACATACAAAAAACTTAATCTTTAATTTCTTATGTACATGAGATATGATGCTACACTATCGGATGAACATAGAATTGAGAACATGTGAGTACAGAGCGAGGTCCGAATCCAAAAGTGAGGTCATAGGTCAGGTTGTCAGGTCTGTTCAGTTCAGAGTTCCTCCTGGTGGCAACTTTTGGATTTATGATCAAAGCTGTTGCCACAATAGATTTCAAAAATTTGCATATTTAGTGTGAAAGCAAAGTCCTAAAGCTGTATAAAAGTCTTAAAGGCCACTAATTATAAACCTCAGAAGATTTGTCATTAAACAAAATATTTGTTTTTATTGTAATCACATTATTATTATTTTTTTTTCCAATTATACAGATTTTATTATTTTTGTGATAGAGATTAAAAAGTTAAATAAAGTAGAATTTGTAAGCATATTTTTGTTAATTTTTAATTATTCAAATTAAATATTTCATCTGTAATTTAGATTTAATAAATTTCAAATTCAATTTTGACCCATCTTTTGAAAAAGGTTTGCCATCACTGATATAGCCTATCAGAAAAACATTTTTATCAATATCATTCCATTAAAAATCTATTTTGTCCCTTTCCCCTCATATTATCTTGAAAATGCAAGAAGACAAATCATTTAACAATTATTGTAAATCAATAAAAATGACTGAATGATATAAACCATTACTTATATCATTCAATCATTTTTATTGATTTATATGATAACAATTGCTAATAATTCATTATTTATCAAAGGAATTAATAAACGACTTAATGACTTTGGTGACTGTAATATAAAAACAACAACAACAACAACAACAACAACAACAAAAACAATATAATATGAATACTGTTTTACAGTTGCTGACTAATGTAAGAAATTCTCCCAAATGTTTTCAGATCTACCAACCTGTTCACAAAAGAACAGTCTATCTTTAATGAAAAAATTTAGTATTTATTATACAATATATTATGTAATAAATAATAATAAACTTTTATTTAAGGCAGGTAATATTCTCCCAAAGGTAGGTCCAAAAACATTTGGGAGTTTTCTTATATTAGTCAACTTCACTTAAGCAATATCTACAGTACACTGATGATTGCAAACATATTTCATATTGTAGAATTCTTTTTACTATAAAACCTACAGGCTACATGATAGTAAATTCTGTTCATCCAACATAAATTCAAAAACATTTGAAAAATGAGACTACATTTCTTATAGGAAAAATTATATACTCTTTATGAATTATCAAATTCTTTTAAGTGATTTAAATCAAAGTAGAGATCTTAAATATGATAAAATTAACTACATAATAGTAAATTTCAACATATTTGAGCAGTAATAGAAAGGTTGCGGCCAATATTTTCAATGTGAAAACGTGTACATTGGACGTTCAGCGCCGCCTTCCTGTAAGCCTAGAAAATTGACAATGGCATTTGGAACGTCAGTGGAATCATACTCGATGTTCCAAACACCATTGTCAAACTTCTAGGCTTACAGGAATGCAGCGCTGAATGTCTGACATACATGTTTTTGTGTTGAAAACGTCAGCCGCAACCTCACTAATATCGTATGTAAACAGAGTAAAAATTGTTTTACACTATTTTGCAAGCATAATTATAACTCTTCCAGTAGCAATTAAAATTATTCAAAGATTGTAAATCATGTCTATAGTCTTTTACAAAATTGTTTATGAAAAATTTAAAAATTAATAATTTCTATTTTTGTACATAGTTTATAGTAATTGCATCCGTAAGTCAGTACTGTATTAATGAAAATATAAATACTATAAAAGTAAATTACATTTTACAGAAGTCCTGTTTCAAATTTCTTCACAATTAGGTAAATGTGCTTCAAATCCCAGAATATACATTTAATATTAAATATAAATGAAACTAGAAACATACAAAAAAGAATTTAATTCAGAAATATAAAACGTGACTTCTGTAAGATGAAATGTGTAAGAGGCATTGCAATAATATCTTTTTAATTTGCTCGATAGTAACATTATTTACTGTATATTGATTAAATGATTAAATATATTTAAATATTGAGAATAACTCACTTCGTAAATCGAAAAATAATTATTCTTTGATATTCATTCCGATCAATAGTTTCTCACACAAAGATTAATCATTTAATATACAAATATTAAAAGGTGCCATAATAAATGTTAGAATTTTACGTAAGTAATGTTTACACATGTTCACGTAAACATTAAAGACAGCAGAACGCCACCTGTAATTGCTTACATAATAATTTTCAATTAACATAATGAAATAAATTTATCGTATACATTATTTAATTTTATATTACTTAAAAGGAAATTGTATTAAAAAATTTTTCTTCTATAATTATTACACATTTAATATTAATATCCACGAAATCGCAGTCGATTACATCATTTTAAAACTTTATCAAAAAATTTTACAGTTAATTATTCTTTTTTAATACAAAATTTTAATATGTATTAATTATAGAGTTTTATAAAGATTTACAAAATTATTTAAATGTTAAAATAAATTTACGAAAAGACTTCTATAACCACGAGTTTCGATCATAACACCCTCAAGCGATCTTTAAAGGAACTGAAGAAAATGGCGTGGAAGTGGAAGGAAGTCGATTATTTGTCAAAACAACAATATTCCGGAGATTCTAATTTATGCATTCAAATGATGAGACATCGTCTATTGAATGCTAAAAGTTTATATCGAAAAGATCTATTCGCTCATTACGGCTGCGTTAACGCTATAGAATTTTCGGCTAATGGAGAATGGCTGGTGTCTGGTAAGTTATTTACAAAAGGAAATTATTCACCATTGAATTTCATTAATTAGCATATTCAAAGAAAATGATTTGCAATATAAAAACTTCCACTGATTGGATGAAGAACACGGATTACATATTTCTAATTAATTATTTATCAGTCTGACAATAGCAATCATAATATGAAGTTTTTGAATTGATAAATAATAATTACCAGTTAAATGTAGTTAAATTCTAAAATTGCACGTCGTCATCTGCGAAGTGAATAAATGAATTGGAAGTTTAAGCTTATTTTTAGTTCAGAGTTCACCTTGTCTGTATATTTAAATGAGTTTAGTTTTTTTGTATTTCTCTACAATGTATTAATTTTACATGCAAAATTAGAAAATACTTTGGTTTTGAATCATAAGATTTAACATGTAAAATAACTAATCGTAAACCTGTGCTATGACTGTAATGAAGAATAATAACGAAAACAAAATAACATATATATTTGTTACAGTAATTGAAGTGCTATATTTTAGAATTTTATTTTTAAGTATAACACTGTGTATAATGATTATTCAATGGCAGAAGTTAGTTTGTTACTGTATGGTGTATTTACGGTAATATGGATTACCTAAAAGTAGCTCTACTCTTGATGACGTTTGATTAATAAATATTATAATTAAATAACTGTAAAAATGTAGAATTTGAATGGATCTGTAAATTTCTTGTCGAAGATCGAAAATTAATTCATGTAAGATGGTATTTCTATATTCACTTTAATAAATTCTACAAATTAATAATGCTACTAAACAAAAAAAATTTAATGTAGAAGTTTTCTATTTACAGAATTATTATTAGTTAATAGAATTTTGTCATAAAATATTGTATTGTTTCCAAATATTTTATATTTGAATTGATAATGAACTAAGTATGATTCTTGTTGATTTACAATAACATTATAGATAGCATAAAAGAAAATTATCAAAATACTTAATGTTATTTCCTTTTATTTATTAAGATACTATAGAAATAAATACAGAATTTCATACAAGATGAAATAAAAACGAGAACACACACACTTAAAATTTCTTTTTTCTTCTAAGAAAGAAAGAAAGAAAAAAAAATTATTGAATGAAAAGAAAGTCTGAAACATCAGTGGCATGGCAATGAATATTATCAGGATGATATGAATGTAACTAATGATAAAGATTTGCAGATTAACATAATTTTTTTAATAATAATAATCTATCAAAAACAAGTTATAAAATGAAATTAGAACTATTGTTTTTATTAAATATATTTTACTTTTATTATATCTGTTATATATAAATTATTTTCTGTAAATTTATTAAAACAAATCAATTTATTAATTTATTTTAACTTTGAATAAAAAAAAAAAGTTTAAAAAAAATTTATATAAAATATTACTTTCTTTGTTTAAGACATTCGTATTGTTTTTTCTAAATAAATATAATTTATACAATGACTTTGAAAAAATTTAAAGTTACTGACATGAAAATTATCAAAAGCACAATGTAATATATATATATGAATTATCAAATTCTTTT